GCAATACTTGTTTGCATAAAGGAGTAGAGAGGTAAAGAAATCCAAAGTGAAAGAACGATAGATCAACCTTCGGATTCGCCTTGCAGATACTTGTTTTCAGGGTAGTACAGAGGCACTACTTGGTTCCCTCCAAATTTTCTTCCGTTCATCCCCGATATAGCCTTTGATGCTCCATCCACATCCGCATACTCCAAGAAAACCTGCATTGACACATTGTCATTAGAAGATTTGTTTGTTTCTGAATTTGGTTTAAGAAACTGTTTTTGAGAGTTGAAACCAAACCTTTCCAACTCCTGGTGATGAATCATTATCTGGATTGGGCCTTGGAATCACAACGTTCACTAAGTTACCTGCACACAACAATGAAACGTGTCATCAAAAACTTGGACCATGTAAAAGCATGAATGAGCGTGATAACGGCATAATATATGTCAAAACACAATCGAGTTGCTTACCAAATTTTCCACCTTCTTGTGTCATTTCCTCCATAATATCTTCGTACCCTTGATCATCTCCAAGATCATCAGCTGTGACAACTTGACTCAAGCATACAATTTTGGTGGGTGTGCCTCCTGGTTGTAGCATAAGCCTCTGTTACCAAAGTTCAAGAAACACTTATCAGAAAGTTTAGATATAGAGACAAAGCATGAAGTAAATCCTTCACCTGCAAAACAATCTGGAGTTGGGGATGAAGTAATAATGCTTCTTGCTCAAGTTTAGGTTTAACTGCACCTTGGATTGCACGCATAACCGCAACCATCTTATCGCCTATCTTGATCCCATTTAGAGCAGCACAAGCAATATCTGTTAGTGAAGGATCTTGGTAAACACAAAATGCATATCCCTTTGACCTTCCAGTTATGTCTTTAGCCAAGTTGAAACCTCTTAGTGTCCCAAAACACTCGAAGATCTCTCTGATTTGTGCCTCTGTGAAGTGATTTGGAAGCCCAGTCACATAAATACGGCTCCAATCATCAAGCACACTAGAAGACAATCCAACAGCCGTCAAGTTGAGATTGGGATTAGGGTGGATCGGACCAAGAGTTGCAGCAAGTGGCGGGTTATAGTCACCTGGTCTCCTCAACTTTACAGGAACCCCCTAGAGTTGATCAAAGCTAAGATGTTACTACTCACAACACATACTGTAACTACTAAAGACACTAAGCCAAGAGACAATGAATCACTTCTAATATAATGCGATCTAGTGCCATTGCGTTACTAGCCTCCTCAACAAATCTCATCTCTACAAAAGCAAACTTGTTTTCATGGTTTATATAAACATTGACCACTGCATCACCTATGAATGAAAAAAATACAAAAAAGCAAATAAGTTTAGTATATTATTGATAACTACACTTACCATTGCTAGATACAGTTTGACCTCCCTTTGAGTTTTTTTTTTTTTTTTAATTGTTGAAAACAGAGTTGGCTACACAACTTAAACAAAGTGTAAAAAGCAAGAAATGATATTAATAAAAACACTCAAGCTCTTGTCATCTCAAACACTTAATTGTGAGTTCATGCTAACCCTCGAAATGCGATATACATTGAAATAAACGTTTTTGAGCCACATTTTTCGCAATAGACCTAACTATTGAAGTTGTTTTGCTTGACACCATTCTGAAAATCCGGTACTCAAAGCCTAACGAATCCTGCTGAATTTGTAAATAACTGACAATCTATCGATGTAGACAATGAGCTCGTTAGCATCGAATAACCAGAAACCATTTATGAGTACATAATAAACTAT